TTGAGACCCTGCCACTCACACTCACATGGAGACCCAGATGGAGTTCCAAGCGCCTGGCTTTGGCCTGGCCATTTGGGAAGTGAACCTGCAGATAATATATCTCTTTCTCTACACTCAGATTTTAAATTAAATTTTAAAAATCTTTTTAAGAAAAGAAAAGAAATACGATCTACCAAATCCTCTCTTCCCATTTAAGTATCTACTCATTAAGGAAGTATCCGGCATTCTTAACCAGCTAATGTATACTTGGGTGTAAAGATAATCTTTAAATGTTAAAATATTTTCGTTTTGTTTAATTCAAATGACAAAAGCTGCCATGATTTTTTCATATTTCTTAATTAGATGTCGTTTAAATTTGGTATATAGTAATTACTGCTTTACATTTTTATTATGGCAAATGGTTATTACTAAAAACAAATTTCCATAACAATAACGTCTTATAGGCTGGCGCTGCGGCTCAATAGGCTAATCCTCCGCCTGCAGCACCCGCACCCCGGGTTCTAGTCCCACTTGCTGCTCTTCCAGGCCAGCTCTCTGCTGTGGCCCGGGAGTGCAGTGGAGGATGGCCCAAGTCCTTGGGACCTGCACCCCATGGGAGACCAGGAGGAAGCACCTGGCTCCTGGTTTCAGATCAGCCAGGTGCGCCAGCTGCAGCGCGCGGTGGCCATTGGGGGATGAACCAACGGAAAAGGAAGACCTTTCTCTCTGTCTCTCTCACTGTCCACTCTCCCTGTCAAAAATAATAATAATAATAATAATAACTTCTTATAAATATTTATTTTGGTTGAATTCTAACATACTGTTTTTTAAAAATGACAAGTTAGAGCCACTGCCTGCAATGCTGGCATTCTATATGGGCTCCAGTTTGAGTCCCAGTTGCTCGACTTCAGATCCAGCTCCCTGCTAATGCACCTGGGAAAGCAGTGGAAAATGGTCCAAGTGCTTGAGTCCCTACACCCATGTCGGATGAAGGTTCTGACTTCAGCCTTCGGCCTAGCCCAGCCCTGTCCACTGTGGCCATTTAGGGAGTGAACCAGTGGATGGAAGAACTCTTTTTCTGTCTCTCCCTCTAACTCTGACTTTCAAATAAATAAAATAAAATGAAAAATTTAATTTTTCCACCTAATTATATTATGCAGTATATAAAATTTAGCTGCTTTTTAATGTTTTCCTGTATTAAGCACTTTTGATAAGCGCTGTTAATGTAATGCAAAGCTAAGGATGAAATCACACGAACCACTATGCCTACCCAAGATGAAATAATTTAACCTTCCCTTCGACATCTGAAAAGTTGAATCAATTACAAGGAATTTTAAAAGTGTAGGACAGACTGATAAACTTCACAACCCACTACAGTTAAAAGAAAGAACAGTAACCGGCCAACAAAGAAATGAACCTGAGACAAGACTGGTTAAGGAATCCTTGTAGAAGGAAAAGAACAGCATGGGCAAGACAATGGAAAGGATTTTCTGCAGCCATCCAAGACAGAAATGAAAGCCTGTGAAGCAGGCACCCACTTGGAGGCTAGCCTTCGACACAGGAGTGCACACTGAGAGGGTGACAAATGGAACCAAAGCAACAACATGGAGTGACAGCATAGAATATATTTTCTGAAGATTAATCTGATTGTCCTCTACAAAATGGAGAAAAATTAAATGGATGCTGGGAGTCTAAGAACATTTTTCTAAGAGAAAAGACCTGTGGAAATCACAGAAGGAAGAACTGCTTCTTAGATGCTGCTCACTTCCCAGCATGTTAAAAAAAAAAAAAAAAGCTATCATTTCAGAAGTTGAAGCTGTCTTACCTATTACAATGACCAAGAAGGAAGTCACTAAGGTTCTTGGAATTTGAAATCTAAATTACAAAGTTGACTGTGTGTAAAGACTAGGAGAAAATAATATCCAACTATGTAAGAATATGGCATTTTAAGTTTAACTTTCCTAAGTCCAAAGGGTATTAAAGTTTCCTTGAAAAACCACCTTGCTCTTCGGATCCAGCCAAAAGAGTGATCAGGTAGAAATAAGAATTTGCTAGGTCTTCAATTTTAGGATAACAACAAAGTAAAATTGCAGTTAGTCAGCTCTTCATTAAATGACTGGTAACCTCCCAAAGGCAAAGGGATTCCTCATGTTCTTTAGGTACTAAGTAACATAAGAAATATCAACTTCATTCTTGAAATCAAGGACAAAAAAAGAATTGCTTCATACTCTCATATAAAAGGCCCTCAAAAAATAAAATGAAATTCAAGGATATTGGTAGCACCACAAACCATGTTTTTGTGATAATCATACTGGGACACTAATCATTACACATCACTCCTCAATCTACTGAAACTATCAAGTTATTGGAACCGAGTCACAAGCAACTTTGCTTTACTATCTTCAAAAGCTTGACAGACTGACAGTAAAATGCATTTAGAAGATGATGAAATACCTGGGCTAAAACAGGCTTTCTGCATGATATAGGAATAAACATGTAAGAAGACAGCACTATGGGGGCAGCATTATGGCATAGTGGTTAAAGCCACCAACTGTGACACCTTGAACAGGGGGCCTGTTCAAGTCCGGACTGCTCCACTTCCAATCCAGCTCCCTGCTCATGGCCTGGGAAAACAGCAGAAGACGGCTCCAAGTGTTTTTGCCCCTGCCATTCACACTGAAGACCAGGATGAAGCTCCTGGCTTCAGTCTGGGCCAGCCCTGTGAGGAGTGAACTAGTGGATGGAAAATTCATCGACTGATGGACTGACCGCCCCACCCTGTAACTTTTTCAAATAAATGAATAAATCTTCAACAAACCAATAAACACACACACACACACACACACACACACACACACAAAACCAGCATTATCTTGCCCACATTATCTATATTACCTATAAATAAGGTCATGGCTTTTACACATGCTTAAACTATACAGTCTGACCTATAACCAATTGATGTTTTAGCAGGTCTATGCTTTGGGGCCAATGTTGTGGGCCAATGGATTAAACCACTGCTTGAAAGGTTGGCACGCCTTATCAGGAGGGCTGGTTTGAATACTGGCTGCTCTACTTCCCATCCAGCTCCCTGCTAATGCGCCTGGGAAAGTAGCAGATGATGGCCCAAATGCTTGGGCCCTGCAACCCACATGGGAAACTCAAAAGAGTTCTGGGCTCCTGACTTCAGCCTGGCCCTGCCTTGGTTATTTTGGCTATTTAGGGAGTGAACCAGCAGACAGAAGCTCATTCTCACACTCACTGTCTGTCTGTGTCATTCTGCCTTTCAAATAAACAAATAAATCTTTCTTTAAAAAATGTCTATTCTTTACTAATTATATAAATGACTTCTGTGACTTGAGAGTCCAATGTACAATAGAGAATTCCAAGATCACCTAGGAAACCTGTAAAGTTCATGAATGAAACTGAAAATATGTAGACTGGTTCACGACCAACTCCTGTCAGATCCCCAAGGGCAAAAGCAAGCAGATCAACTGAGACAAGAATGAATATTTTAATACTCAAGACACAACCAAATAGTCAAACTCCCCACACATGTGGTCAGCCTTGGAGTATTTTTAATTATGGAACTGACAAGACAAGGAGGGGAAATATGGACAAGTTCCTTTTTTCTTTCATTCCAGGAAACAAACAGCAATACAGAAAATTTTAAACTACCTCCTCCTAAGAGTCACAGCATATATTAATTAATCAAAATAAAATGAGTTAGTTTTGGTATATAGGTACCCTATCAGCAAAACCACTATAAAACAAGATGAAAATACCTAGAAAAGTTTAAAACAAGTTTGAAAAAGCAGTAAAAGTAATTCCAGTTTTTTGAACATCATTATGGCTCATGTATATACAATCAGGACATGTTTCCCTACCCTAGCAGGTTGATTAAACAAAAGATCCTTTATAACAAATGTTTTCATATTGGATTTAATTTGTATGATAGCAGGATTGTTGATTTGTTATTCAGCTTATGTAATCAATGTTTGCAAAAGTAACTACTAAATAACTCCAAAAACTCTACATATTTGAAGAGAAGGTTGAATAAGTGCTTTCAGTTTTGTCTTTATCTTCTTGTCTTTATCTTCTCCACTCCCCACATCCTTGAGGGTAGGAAAGTCATCTGAACAGAAAACACTACCATCATTTACTGAATTGGACTGAGGTCCCTGGAGTGGACAGGGATCCCAACTTCTGATATAAAAGAGAAAGAAAAGAGGAATTCATGCTTAGAAAAATATATACTGGCATACAGTTCTTTTACCATAATATACTAAGTAGTTGCTTCTAAAGTACAGTATTAGCTAAAGCCCCTAACTTCAATAAACCTTTGTACAAGTGAACAAAATAAGTACATAAATCACTTGTTACTTGAATTCCCTGCCACAGCTTTTAGCTGATAAGAGCAGGAAAGCTTATTTTTCAAATGAGTAAATCTCAATATGTAGAAGGATGAGCAGAAAAAGCTCAGGATTTGGAGTAACAGAGATCTAGGTTCAAACAACTCAATCATGATCCTGTTAACCTCTCCAACCCTGTTTGCCTACAAAAAGCCATGAAAATAAGAATCCAATGAAACATTACGGAACCTCTAGATCACAAGGGGAAGTCATTCTAAAAGGCATCTTTTTAGATGTCTACTATATCCTTAAAAGGTCAGAATTATTCCTCTTTTCTATTCTTTTCAAGACAAGAAATAAGGGCACATTCTTATGAAGAATCTTAGATCAAAAAAGGTCCCAAGAAACTATTTGGTTTAACATCTTTGACTTACAGATAGTAAAAGAGTAAAGTCCAAAGATGATGAGTGTTATATACTAAGACTGGAAACTATGGCCTCAAGGTTTTCTGGTTGAGTACTATCTTCATGGTACCCAGTTTTACCATTCTTTAAGAGCTCCACTAAATCACTGTTGAATTCCTCCCTTTACAAGCCATTCTGCTATCTCACACTTATGGATAGAATTCCTATATAATGTCTAACAAGAATCTGTAGCTATTAAATATCTCACCTTATTATACTTCCAATGAACAGGGTAGGATTCATTATCACTCCATATATAAGAGTACTTTCCAAATTGCCTTCATCAGGTTTATAAATTTGTCTATTACCAAGGATAAGTTCTTTTCTAAGACAAAAATGAAGGGCCACATATTTAAATACATTACATTTATTCCAGAAATAAGATAGTAGTCACTACTATCTTAACTACCCTGGAAACTGTCCAGTTTATTTACATGTAAAGTATTATGAACTCTTAAAAATAAAAATATTCCCTAGTTTTCAAAAGTTAAAAAACCAATTATGCAATATAAAATGCCTTTCTGTCGAGGCTTTCAAAGTACTTTTCAATCAGAACTCTTCCCCTCTTTATAAATCTCTTCTTTTTAGAACATGGATGGTAATAAGACTGTCCATCCTTCCACAGAAGAGCAAGTAAGTAAGTAAGACCATACACCAAATCAATATAGAAACAAAGCCCAGAAACCCATGGTCAGTGAGCCTTCCTCTGTACTACACAAAGATACCACCTTGAATATTCAACTTACAGACTAAAGCTGCTCATGTACATGTGACTTTACAAGGAAAATCAATGAAATATTTTAAAATAATGTGTGGCCTTAATCCTCATTTATTGATCCTCCTTTTTATGTTGTCTTTCCAGAATAGGAAGCAAGTAAAGCACTTGTATTATGAGTCCTTCAGCTAAGAAGAGCCACACTTCAGACAACTAGCAAAGTTTGAGATTAATAAAACTTAAGTTTAGCCACATCTTAGCAAGATTTCTACTGAGGAATGCTATAAATCTTTCAAAGCGGCACCAAGAGCCTGGTAGTGGCTTTGACAAAGAAATCAAATAGCCAAGCAGTGCTAACCTTAACTACTAGAAATCAATTACTTTGAATGGAACGGATTATTTTTGTTCTAAAGATTTATTCATTCTTGTATATAGCAATTATCTACCCTAATGAGAATTCATACACTTGCAGGAGCATGCACACACACACACTCACACAAATACAAACACAATTAACTGGAACAAAAATACACTGGCTTGAAAATTCATGAATTTATTTGAACCTTTGGTGTTTGTTATAATATTTATATACATATTCCCTCTCAGAACCTGCATTATAAAAGATTTTCTTCATTTTTCTTGTGTTATTCTTCCCCATTTTGCTGCAAAAATCTTTCTCCTAATCCAAATGCTAACTAGATGAGATGATTCTCAATATGTACACTTCCTACAGAGTGATCTCTGTCCAGTTCTGCCAATCATGATGTTTCCCTCTCTAAACTACAACTATGTATGGAAAAAACCTGTTTTTTGTTTTCAATTATATTCATTTTTTTCCTCACCTAGCTAAAGAAAGAACCCCTTGAGTACAAAAGCCTCGCTCCATACACAGATGGCCCCCTGTTTTGCCTACACTTTAGGTTATACTTTCAAAAAATAACTTCAAGGGGGCCAGCGCTGTGGTGCAGTGGGTTAAAGCCCCAGCCTGCAGCACCAGCATCTCATATGGGCAGCAGTTCGAGTCCCAGCTGCTCCTCTTCCGATCCAGCTCTCTGCTATGGCCTGGGAAGGCAGCAGCAGATTGCCCAAGTCATTGGGCCCCTGCACCCATGTGGGAGACCTGGAAGAAGTTTCTGGCTCCTGGCTTCAGATCAGCTCAGCTCTGGCCGTTGCGGTTACTTGGGGAGTGACCCAGCAGAATGGAAGACCGCTCTCTCTCTCTCTCTCTCTCTCTCTCTCTGGCTCTCTCTCTCTCTGTGTAAATCTTTCTAATAAATAAAATAATTCTTTAAAAAAAAAAAAGTAACTTCAGGGCAGGCATTTAGCCTAGCAACCAGGATGCCTGTGTTTCACACAGGAGTACCTGGGTTTAAAACCTGGTTCCAGCTCCTCACTCCAGCTTCCCGCCAATGGAGACTCTGGGAAGCAGTAGTGTTGGCTCAAGTAACTGGGTTCTGGCCACCTATGTGGGAGATCTGGATTGAGTTACCAGCTTTTAGCTTTATCTTCTCTCTCTCTCTCTCGCATTTACTCTCAAATAAATGTATTTTTAAAAATAATAATGACCTCAGTAAATTGTATTTTGGGAGGAAGTATTATAAAGTGTCTTTAAAATTCTATGCCAAAATATCAATTTTTATAAACCTTACTAAAATGCCTCTCACTTATTTTATAAATATTGGCTTGATTTACTCTTAAGTAAGGACATATGCTTTAGAGTAGAAGCCAGATCAGAATTCTAGCTCTATCAGTTAGTCCATGTGTTACCCAGAGACTAGGTAGTTTCCTTATCTGGACAGAACTGTTCTCATACTGTTACTGATGAGATAATAAATACAAACCCCTTAGCATCTACCTAGTAAGTGGTTCACAAGTGGTAATTGTCAGTTACTTTGTGAATAATGAGGAAAGAAGGAAAAGTGATAATTACTGTTTGAATATACTTATTCATATATGCCTGTATCCATGTCTGAGGAAATATAAACACATACCCCAAAAATGGCATCTCTGGAAGAAAAAAAATTATTTAAAAGACATTAACATTGTCAACTTTTTATTTAAAATTCACTGTCTATTAAATTCTGTATGCTCTAAGTCTTTAGGTATTATAAACTCTTGCTTACAAAACAGCAACAGGGCATTATTATTAATTTTTTATCCATTTTTAAAAACTGGAGTTGAATTTTTGGTGAAGCAGATCGGGTTAGAATCAAAGGAGTGGGGTAAGAAGATAAATGTAGTTTCTAGTATCTTCTAATATCTAACGAACCTGTTAGCTTTCTGTTCAAATGGTGTCCAGAAATTAAGTACAAAGTCTTTTATTCGATAACCATACCAGGCTTATTGATGTGCACTGTTTCAATGATATTAGGCAGGCACAGGAGACACAATCATCTCTTAAGGTCTAGAGGAAAAACAAAAAAATGCCAAACTCGTGAACCCAAGATAATATAGGACACAGGACTCTGTGACCACAGATGATTCAGAAAAGTTGGAAACAGAATCTTTGTAACAAAGGAAATGAGAAATTTAGGACCAAAACACCAAAAAGATTATAACTTTCACTGCCTAGCCACAAAGGAGATCAACAAATGTTTGTTATGAACTCAAGAGAATAATTACCTTCATTGTGAATCCTCAGAACCTAGCACAGTGCCTGGACCAAATGATATTTGCTACATCAAAGAACAAACATATCTGAAGAATGGTTTAATGAGAAATATGGAGTAAAGCAATGCTCCTTCAATTAAAACATTAAAATAGATTCAGGAGCTTTTAAATATTAAACAAAATATAAAACAGAAGAGAAAAATCTAAGGTTACCCTCCAGTACAAGAAAGCCATGAGCAAACACCCATTTGTGAACCTAAGTAGAGCAATTAATTCAATCCATGTTCCACCTTTGTCATCAAGACATGCTTATTGTTGATAGCTAGAACATCAAAGTCAGCTAGACTTTAACTGTCCATACTTAACCTCCTTTTGGAATTATGGCAATCCTTCCCACCAATATAATGGATGATAAATTTTGTTTTTGCAGATTTAAAACATTTCAAATACAGCAAATTTCTTACTTCAGAAATTCCTCTAAGGGATGACTTTCAGGCATCTAATATCTTCAATTATTTCAGCAGAAACCTAACAACCTCCCCCTTCACAATATAGCTCTAAACAACTTCCTTAAAAAAGGAACTACTCTAAAAATAGGTTGTCAACTTATTCTGAGTAACAGCCAATCTAAGACTCCCTCTGACACTACAAAAGAACCTATCCATAAGAAAAGTGAGGCAAAGGTAAAGACATCTGATGCACATTAAACTACTTTTCATTTTAATGCCTCAACCCATAGCTGACTTATTAATACAATATTTATGCTTCACATTTTGGTGGTCATTTTGCTTTGAAGACATCAGGCTAAGGCCAACATTGTTCATATAATGAAATGGTTTGGGGAAAATCCTCCAATATCCCACTCCTACCATGAGGATGGCAACAAGGAACAGCAAGCACATACTTCTGGAGACTAGATCTGGACACATTTGATGAAAGACAACTTCAACCTTCCCTTAAAAACTGACCCACTTTTCTGACACATCAGTTCACTTACCTCTCCCATCGCTCTTCCCTCCAGAGCAAGTGCTTGAAAATCATGATTCAGTTCATCCATAGAACGTACCTATTGTACAGAACAGAGGCGGGGAAAAGCTTTAAGTCAGCAAATTGAATTTTACACACACATTACACATAAGTGAAAAAATGTCTCTATGTTTAATTTCAGACACTGACAAAGACTAAATAGCAATAATCAAGGAACTAAGATTAAATACTCACTTACCTTTAACCACCAGGGTTCAGCAATGTTCCCTGCTTTCTCCCCGCCCATTCTCTTTTAATTTCAAAACATGAAAATCAACATACAATTCAGAAAAAGACCATTACATTGAGAATTATGCTAGCTATTTCTCACATATTCTAATTTAATAAGTAGAAGCAAACATGCTGAAAATCAACAATGCCTAGAAATGATTATGTGACCTAAACCTGGCTAATGAGTCGAAATTGTCAGTGTCCCTCCTTCAACTGTGAATAATTAAGGGATCTCATCTCTGATCCAATCCACTATTGGTAGACCCCAGAGGAGTACACTACACACTATATAAGGGAGTGACTCAACATTTTTGTTTGTTTTTTGTTTTATTTGACAGAGTTAGACACTGAGAGAGAGACAGAGAGAAAGGTCTTCATTGGGCTGGCGCCATGGCTCACTTGGTTAATCCTCCGCCTGCAGCACCAGCATCCCATATGGGCGCCGGGTTCTAGTCCTGGCTGCTCCTCTTCCAGTATAGCTCTCTGCTGTGGCCCGGGAGGTCAGTGGAGGATGGCCCAAGTGCTTGGGCCCTGCACCTGCATGAGAGACCAGGAGGAAGCACCTGGCTTTGGATCAGTGCAGTGCGCCGGACATAGGAGCCATTTGGGGATGAAGCAATGGAAAGGAATACCTTTCTTTTCTTTTCTTTTCTTTTTTTTTTTTTTATTGATTTATTTGAAAGGCAGAGTTATAGACAGTGAAAGAGAGACAGAGAGAAAGGTCTTCCTTCCATCCTCCACTGAGCTCCTGGGCCACAACAGAGAGCTGGACTGGAAGAGGAGCAACTGGGACAGAATCTGGTGCCCCAACTGGGACTAGAACCTGGGGTTCTGGCACTGAAGGCGGAGGATTAGCCAAGTGGGCCACGGCACCGGCCCATTTTTTTTAATATTGGAAGATTTCTGGGTACTGCCAGATCCTTAAAACCAGTAAGGAAAAGGGGAGCATTTATCCCAAGAATTCTAACAAATGTTACTAATCACTAAATGTTCTCCTACTCACAGCGTAACAATCTCTTTAGGCTTCCTATTATTTGTCCCCAAGGTTATTATCCCAAGGTATTATCAATACCAAGGATTAAGTGCAAAACAGACCATTTAAAATAGATTTCAAAGTTTCTTTTTCATCCACTAGTCTAACAGCTGGCTGGTCTTCTCAGGATTGGTCTTCAGCAAGCCACCTGATGCCATAGTCCCTGAACCATCCCTGGGCAAGGGATTCAAGAGTACAGTCCTTTGTTTATTAAAGAGGAAGGCTTTTCTACCTCTCTGAAAAATACTTCTGACTGCCTGAAGCAAGGAGTGTTTCAAAATTCCTCCCCTCTGCAACACTACTGTCCCAGTGTTGGTACACAATTTCTAGCAGTCAGAAAATGCAAAGTTCAGGACAGGGCCAAGTAAGGAGGTTCGGCAAGGATATAGAGAACATGAACCAGAATACATTTAAGAGAACCAACTTATGATGGCCACTGGTTCAAGTACTAGCTGCTCCACTACTGATTCCAGCTTCGGCCTGGCCCAGCTCAGGCCACGGCAGCCATCTGAGGAGTAAACCAGAGTATGGAAGATTGTTTTCTCTGTTTCTCCCTCTCTCCAAAATTGTCTTTCATAAATAAATAAATCAACAACCCAGAGCTGACAGTATGATACAAATGACACAGTGTCATTATGATAAAACAGCTTTGGAATGCTTGCTAAAAATGTATATTTTTTAAATTCAAACATAAGTTAAAATCCTATTATATGAACAATCACAGGAGAAAGAAAGCTTGGCATATGGTTTCAAAAGGCTTGAAATAGAAGCTATGATTGTAAAAAGGGGGTGCAGATAGGTGTCTCCTCACAGAGGGCATCAAATTTAAGAAAAAAAAGAGCACAAAAACAGAGAGAAGACAGAATATGAACTCACGAGCATATCGAATTTACTCAAAGAAAATAAACTTGCAGAGGTCAACCAACTGCCAGCGTGTACACAGATGGAATTCGGAGCAGAGGGCCCAGACCTCAGTAGGCTGGGCCTTTTTATATCTTAGGTGGGCTGGGGTGGGGTGGGGTGGGGGGCAGTAGGTAGAGGTGAGCTTCTCCATGCAGGTTCTTCAAGTCTGTCCCGCCTGCTTCCAAACCTGGGAGAGAATACAGGGAGTGGAGTGGAGAACAATTGGGTGTGAGACTGAACTGGTCTCTTGAAAGAAGGCAGGGGTAATAAAACCTAAAATGGCTGAGGTTTATGCCCTTGTTCCATCAATCCTGACTCTGAGTATAGATAAGGAGATGGGGCACCGGTTTCTTCCTGACTACTTCCTGCTGATCTGGGGCGTAAACATGAGGCAAGGGTCTACACTCAGGTTCAGACTGACTGAAGAACAGTCTTGTGTTGTTCCTGTGTGATGGCTTGGGATACAGCAGTCATATGCTCCTGTAAGCACTTCTGAAGTAAGTTAATTATATGTGGTAAAAACAGAAGCACTATGATTATGAGGATAAAAGGAGATAATAGACAATGCTCACGGTGGAAAAGACAGTCAAAATGAGGAGGACAAAGGAGGAAATAGGAAAGCAAGAGTCCTGTCCAGTTAATGGGAAGACAGGTGCGTGCCTGGTTGCCACAGGGAAAGAACACTCCCATTATGTTTCGTGTGTATGTGCTGGCAAGGAGCTGTGGGATGGAGTTAGTCTGTCCAGCTTCTAGTCCTAGGTTCCCTCAATAAACACCTTTCAAAATAGTTACACGATTAGTTAAGCATGCAAAATGAATAGATTTCTGAACTCTACATGGTTAAAATAATGAAGGAAGGAACCAGCACTGTGGCATAACAGATTAAGTTGTCACCTGCACCACCAATATGAGCGCTGGTTAGAGTCCCGGCTATTCCACTTCTGGTCCCGCTCCCTGCTAATGTGCCTGGGAAAGCAGCAGAGGAGTGAACCAGAGGATGGAGAACCTCTAACTCTACCTTTCAAATTAAAAAAAAATTTTTAAAAACAAATAAAGAAATAAAGGAGAGGGAACGTAGGGACAAGATGTCAGCTAGAAGCTCTACAAATGCTGTAAATAATTATTTGAATCTTCAGGCCAGTGTTAACATTTACAAAGCATGTAAATCAAATACACAAAGATCTCTAGCTCCCTCTGTGGAATCTAATCATACAATGAACTAGGGAGAGTCATTTTTTAGAATTCTAAAAACATCCAAAAAGTTTTAACCAGAAACACCAGAAATTCTATTTATTTATATTTCCAGAAAAGTAGGAAGAGCAAGGGAAGGCCAAGAACATACATTATGCATACTTATGTAACTATCCCAAGAATCTCACAGTGATAATTACTCTTTAAGAGATTAGAAAACTGGGTCTGGCGCTGTGGGCTGTGGCTTGCCACCTACTGGCATTCCACATGGGCCCCATTCAGTCCTGGCTGCTCCACTTCCCATCCCAGCTCCCTGCTAACATGCCTAAGAAAGCAGCATAAGATGGCCCAAGTACTCAGGCCCCTGCACCCATGTAGGAGGCCTGGAAGAAGATCCTGGCTCCTGGCTCCTGGCTCGTCTGGCTCAGGCTCGGCCACTGCAGTCATTTAGGGAGTGAGCCAATGAATGGAAGATATCTTTCTGCCTCTGCCTCTCTATAACTCTTTCAAATAAATAATTTTTTAAAAAAGATTTATTTTACGATGCAGAGATTAGAAAACTGAATCTTAGGGAAATGTCTTCCCAGATCATTAAGTAGGGAAGAACATAGGAGGAAACAAACTGAAACTCAGCTGTTATTGCCAAGATATTAATCCAGATCATCCAGTTTAAAGTTCAATGGGTAATCATGTGCACATACTCCCTCTCTCTCCAAAATCCAATTCTCTCAACACACAAATAAATTTCAAAAAAATGTTTAGGGGGGGGCAGGTGTTTTGCATAGCAATTATGACTCCTGTTTAGATATCCACACTCCATTATCAGAATGCCAGAGTTCAAGGTCTGCCTTGTGGTTCCTGCCTCCAGCTCACTGCTGATGCAGAGCAGCACTGGGGATGGTTCAAGTGATATGGCTAATTGGGTTGCTGTATCCTAGCTTCAGTCTGGCCCAGCAGGCTATTGGGTTTGGGAGTCATTCAGCAAATGAGAGCCCTCTCTTTCTCTCTCTGCCTATTTTTTCAATTGCCCATCTTGTGCCTGTAGCATTTTTCATTCCTTTCTATACTATCTTCCTCCTATAACATTCTTATTTTTTTAAAAAAGATATATTTTATTTATTTGAAAGGTAGAGTTACAGAGAGGTAAAGGCAAAGAGAGAGAGAGGTCTTCCATCCACTGGTTCATCCCCAAAATGGCCATAACAGCCAGGGATGGGCCAATCTGAAGCCAGGAGCCTCTTCCAGGTCTCCCAGCCCAGCACAGGGACCCAAGGACTTGGGCCTTCCTCCACTGCTTTCCCAGGCCATAGCAGACAGCCAGATGGGAAGTGGAGCAGTTGGGACTCAAACCGGCGACACTGTCACCACAGGCTTCACCCGCTATACCACAGCACCCTTTTCCCTTCCCCATTTGTCTGTCGGTCTGTCTCTGCCCCTCCCCAGCACACACACACCCCTGTTTTATGCCCTGTCTCTCAGGTCTGTCTCTCTCTCACTCTCTCTTCACTCTGTCCAGTCCTCCTTTCAAGGCATCTCCTTCTGCTTCACAGGACCCTTCCCCCATTTCAGGGCAGCAGCCCCACCCTTCCTCCTGTAGTCAACACTGTGAAATAAGCTTTATTTTCTGAAGCTGTCTTTTCTAGTCTAGAAACCAGATTTTACACTTCCACCCACAGTTGACA